ATATATGCTGTTGGTTGTGCACGACAACAAATTCAGCGGTTGACACTCTTGGGTGCTTTTTCGAGGCCTGTATAGTACGCCTGTTGTTTTCGGTATGCCAATGCAGAAAAATTCAAAAGTTTGCCTTTTGTTGCCATTTCGATCAATTCAATGACCATCTTTACACGATGCATTACGCAGAAAACATGCAGTCATCTACAGAGCATATGTAGAAGTCCGGTTCTCGTATTTCTGCAAAGTGCACGCTTGAGACACCTGAAAAAGTAACGGTAACGTACTGCAGGACATAATTTCAAGCACACTTCAGTAGAACTTGAAGTATTTCTTCATATTTTGTCACATTACGTTCATACACTACTTACTGAACCGGATGTTTTGCACTATGGCGGGGGGGGGGGGGGGCTTGGTGCCTCGTGAGTCAGATGCCATTCAGAGGTAGTTAAGTGTGCTGATTGTTTGGATTAACTTTTTGGAGGAGCTCGCGTTCTCCAGCTCACCCCCGGCTGTCCTGGGTCGTTTCGAGCTCATTTACAGCTCGCCTTACGCCACTGCATCGCAGAAATAAACTATTTTGGGGGAGATTTTGATCTGTATACCCACCACCATGACTGTCACGAGGTTCCGCCTACCGCAGGGAATGTGTGGGGTTATGGTCCAGACTCTGCATTTCAAAAAAGTTTGTCTCCAAAATGTGCGCGAATCTCCTAATTCTGGATATCTCAGGGGCAAATCGTTCTTGTATAGTTGTTCCAGTGTGTACAGCTGTTGTTTAATCAACGCTCTTATTTCACGTGAGTTTTCGCGAGTCATTATCTAACACATCTCGCGAGCGAAAGCGAGTCAAGGTCAAAGTCGTATCATATCATGATTAAAAACTGCTTTCAAGTTTCCCCACACAATTGCAAGATCAGTAGCTCCCTTGCGATTCGCTCTTTCCCAACTAGTGGAAAATTGCGTGTGGTGTCCATCCTGCGATCAGGCAACCGATCTATACCAGTTAAGAATAGCCTCATGGCTCTCTCTTACGCGCGCTGTCCAAAACTGTTTTTAAAAACTCGTTTCCGTCCAGCTGCCACTTATATTCACTACAATACTGTCAGTAATTACTATTAGTATTAGTAATTTCTGCTAAGCATGTTATTATTATAAAGATTCTACTACTTTGCCGTATAATTATTCGATACGTCTACCAGTGATGTCGCTCTGCTGAGCACAATGCCTGACATTGTAGAGAGAATTGGTGAGGAACAGCGACAGCGGAGAAATACCGTTCGGTAACAGTTGTCGACCAATGCAAGGCCTTTGACAGCGTTGATGATAATCCGCTTGTAGCAAAGCTTCAGTGGTGCGGCGTAGATTCTGAACAGTTTAAAAGCTGTTTGAGTGGTCCGAGGCTGGTGGTGCGTCGAGGACTGACGACCCAACTGCTAGCCTGAAGAGTGTCTCAGGGATCCTTAATCGGTTTGCTCTCATTCTCCCTGTTAACAAATAGGCTGCCCAATCACGTGTCACTTACTTGGGCCGCTCATCTCAGATGCTGATGGTACCCAACTCATGGACGAGCAAAGTCTAGACGCTATAGAAAGTCGTCTGAAAATGTCGATTTGCGAACTTCACGCTCGGCTCAGCGCAAACCCTCTTGGAATTACAAAGGCAAAACCGACTTTGTTATCATAGCTTGCAAATGTATGTTTTATGAAAACTGTTATTTTCAATTAACTATAGATGGAGAGGCTATCACACCTTCACGGCATATCACAACCGCAGACTGAACACTTTCGTAGTAGAAGCACGTCGCCAGAGTCTGGCAAAGTTGCAGCGGCATTATGATCTCGTTACACCGCTTCAGGCATATATTACCGTACACCTGATGCTCTCCAAATTATTGTTGAAAATTAGGTTTTCCGGCATATACAGTTATGGATATGCGTATGGCGTGAAGCGATCAAATGTAAGGTGTGTAGGATTCAAAAAGTTATGAATTTTACCGTCAGAATTATAGTTTATATTAAACGCGGATAACATATATATCCGACTAAGAAGTTCATAGACTGGCCCCGAAACGATGACTTGGTAGAGGACAGGAGCATGATAAAAGCATCTTAAGTGGTAAGATCCGAACAATCCCCCGCAATCCATTTTTTTTCCAACCCACGTTCCTCTAGTATTTTGCCTTGTTAAGAATTTGGCCATGTCTAATTAGACACGTCGTTTGAGTTCGTGCGTATTTTAGTATCAGACGTCCTAGTGCCGTGATGAACCGAACCTGCCGTCCGCGGCTAGCAGCCGAAAACCGGAAAAGCCACCTCGTGGATGGACTTCCAGCAAATACAAATGTAAATGTCAACCAAAAGACCTGTGTATGCCATTAGTGGAGAAGCATCGTTCACGCTCTAGTTCACGTAGCGCACAGCCAGGAAACTGTCCGAAGCCTGTTCGCAGTATCCATTTTGCAGCCCGTGAACAGAGTCGCCTTGTCGTCGGCGACGGGCTTCGCTTAGTGCGCTGGTTGGCAGGGCGGATGCCGATCGGTGGGCGGTGCCGGCTCCTCGTCCGCCAGACGGGCAGGGGCGTGGCCAGTTGTCTGACGGGGTGGCTGAGGCGAGGCTTGGCAGGACAAAATGCGGTATGTTTCCTGGGGCGGGAGATGATGTCACCCGAAGGTCTAGGTCAGAGTCAGTCGGCGGTGTTAGAGAGAGAGAGAGAGAGAGAGAGGGGGGGGGAGATGGGGAGAGGGAAAAGGAAACTGAAATGGGGTGGGAGAAAGGACAAGGGACGATACTGGACTGACAGATGCGCAGAGACACAGATAGCGAAGTAGTTAGCGGGAGACATGAGGAAAGCAGCATAAATCTCCCGTGGACAGAGGCGTGGAGAAAGAGAGCGCACACTGCAAACCCATTCGAAGTCATCTATCATTCGGAAGGCCCAAGTGGCAGTCCGAAATCCTGGCGTCATCGTCCGTGGAAGATCAATGCCAAGACTGTGACGTCACGCGGCGTCTTCGGGCCGAGGTTCGATGCAGATCGCCTCCATCTCTGACGTCACGCTCGGCCTCCTGTCAAGATCGACGGTGCGCCGTCCCGAGACTGACGCCTACGCGCTGAAGAGTTCTGACAGGGACCGGAATAGCTGTTAGCCCCGTTCGCAATCTGAGCTGAGCAATTTGATGCAGGCTCAGTGGTGGCCTGAAAATCTGCAGCCAGCAGTGACAAAATGGTGACCGGTGCCGAAGCCTAGCATTGTTCGCGTAGCTGCCATCGGTTGTCTCCATAGGCGCGTTCACTAAGTGGCCCCATGGAGTTAGCTCCCCTTCCATTCATGTTTTAAAAGGCATTTATGTGTGCAGGACAAGATCTTGACATTAAGAATAGCGGGTAGACAAGTAAAAATAAGTAGGTCAAAAACAAACTATGTTGTTTCACACAACGCAGGATTTAGCGCGCCTCAAGCGCGCTAAACTTGGTTTTCGTAAAAAAGCTTTGAGCCGTGTCCCTCCCCACCACATTGTGAAACCGTGCACACGCCCCTGTTCTTGTCGGCTGACATTGGAGCCCACCTCCGCAACCATAAACGGCGAGTGTTGAGACCCTTCTCTGCCCTGGTATGCATACCGCCAATGCGCTCGCGGGTTTGGGCCAGATATCCACTACGGCGCTAGAGCTCCACTGCTTAAACCGCCGTACGTTATCAAACCGCCACTGGAAACCGCCGTATGTCATCAAACCGCCACTGGAAACCGCCGTATGTCATCCAGTTGCTTGTTCACCGTTCCTGTGCATCGCGCGGCGAATGGCATTTGACAGTTGTCTGGCGTGCAGTGCTTCGAAAATCCGTTTGGATATATGAACGTCGCACGCTACACTTATTGCACATTTATGGTGAGCCTTCAAGCTTGTCAACATCATATCAATTATGGCCCCGGTCTGTTGAACGTAGTCACGGATGCAGTTTCTGGCAAAGTTTGGAGAGGCCTGAATCACACCGCGATTTCATACAGCCCCCCCCCCCCCCCCTCCCCTCCATCCCAGCATCGTGGCTAATTCCTTTAGATTCAAGTTTAAAGCAATAAAAGCACGGGCTATGGACCAAGTGTAATTTTTGGACGCGCATTTGAAGTAAAGTTGGTCAGGTTGCGCTTACCGAACTACTTCAGTTACCCCCCGAATTCACCGAGTCGTAACCTGATTGCTGGTCTGTTTCTCGGCGAGCGCAGCTGTATCTTGGCGAAAATCCTGCGCACTGCGCTAACATTTCATTTGCGCCATTGCCACAACCGATGTGATAAGCCGCGGCGCTAATGATCAGGCGACTACGCCCGTTGATACATGCAGGAAAACATTCATTCGCCTTCGAGCAAAACCGTGCACGCTGCCTGCACGTGCAGGCATGGACAGCGAGAGCCCCTTTTCCAACTGCGGAGGTGCACGAGCATGCGCAAGACACCTCTGCGGAGTGGGACAGCTTCAGAATCAGTGAGATGGACAAGTTGCAGTTAGGCCGTGTGCGCGCGCAGTAAACGAGCATGAGAGCGCCGGTGAACCGTAAGTCGGCGTTTTTCACAGCGCTGCTGGCCGAGCGCTGTGCCTTTCCATTCAGCGTCGCCGGCAGGGTCTTTGGCCGGTGAGGTCCTGTCTCTATGCTGTCGCCGCGCGACGCTCGTCTTATCTCAGGCGCGGAACGTTCCAGATAGGTTTCCAGGACGGCGGCAGCGGCGAACAGATCGATTCCCAGCTCGTCTGACGTCAGCGGTCGGCCGGGCCGGCCGGGCCGCCGCGCTCTGCTCCGCTTCTGCCGGCTTCCTCCGTCATTGGCTGGGCCAGCCAGCTGGCCGACCTGCCTCGCCGCAGCTTCCAGGAGCCGCAGCTCTTGCCGCCAGCCCGGCGCCAGGTGGCCACGCCCCCGCCGCGGCGTGATTGGCCAGCCGGCGCTGGGCGGCGGCCGTGATTGGCGGGCGCCGCTGCGGCCCGTCGCCGCCTGGACAGACGCTGGCCGGGCGCCGCTGCCGGCTGGACGGCTCCCAGGAGACGGAGCTGCGGAGACTCTGACCCCCGCTTGGCGCAGGGGTCGCGTGCAGAAGGCCGCCGCAGGCCGCGGCCGGCGTCGTCATGTTCCGAAATCAGCTTGACGCCGTCGCGAACCTCTACCAGGGTCTCAAGTTCAAGTACGAGGAGGCTGTCAAACCGTGAGTCAACGCTCTGCCGAGAGTGGAGCGCCCCTTCATTCCAGAGGACATATCGTGTGAAGTGTTGCCAGGCGCGCTGCCAGCGGTGTACCACAAGTCAGCAGGGGCCAGCGGGGATAGCAAGGGCCATTTTCGGACGCGCCAGCGCTGAATAGTGTGACACCGACGCTTGCTGAATACCGACACAGCATATTTCACTGGTCCAGGCTCCGTGGCGAGTTGGGGTAATAGGGAACATCAGAGGCTTGAGGCGTCTGTCCTCAACCGACGCTCTTGGGCGTGATGTGTGAACTCCGCGAGACTGAGGTCCCCTCCCCCTGTAGCGGGGCTCATGTCGGACGATGACGGTGGCGATGTTATCACATTAAAATGGCACGCGGCTATAGCTGGCCAGCCAAACCGCTGGGTGGGCAGCTGTGGTACACTGCTAGCCGTTATCACCTTAAAGTGGCACGCGTCGATAGCTGGCCAGCCGAATCGCTAGGGCGAGCAGCTGTGATAACGAACACTGCTACCCATTCGTATCAGAGACGCGCCGGAATACGGTACCGCGACGGTCTGGTACGAGCGTCACACTCAATACTATCGACATGCATCGATGCGTTTACAGCAATGCATGGACAATTCTTACTTTATTGCACCCTTTGGCCTCCAGTTATGACGAGCCCATGGCGATGTCCTCGGACGTACCCCAGCCTTCTGGGTGCAAGCGTGGTCTGTCTGCGCTGCCAGTTTTGGAAGCGGGAATGGGTTGGATTTGTTTTCCTTTAGGTGGATCTATCCATATGTTACTGGAGCTTGATTCTCCCATATATTGTTTTAACTCTCCCTCCCATGCTATTTAAGACGTTCTCCTTCACGACTATAGCTGGCTTGTGAAAGGTGCTGTCCTTGATCCCCAACGTCCTCCTCGGCCCCAAATGGTTTTGGCGACGTACCATAATTCCTTCGGATTCAGCCAGACTAAGTGCGTCGGACTCCAGCTCCCCATTCCATCAGAATCAAACTTGATATCAGCAGCATGCAGACGTTCATTAAACACAGGCTCTCGGTTCTACCTACCCAGCCAGCGGCCGAACGTAGTTTTCGGGTAATTACGTAATCCTAAATTAAGGGTGCTGGAAAGCAGCTGCGCGAACGGCAAGAGGCAGCTCTCCACTACACCCGCAACTTTCCAGCAGGATCCTATTTTGGAGAACTTTATATTAATCTTAATTCGACAGCCCTTTCATGAGGGGCTAATGGGGTGGCAATAATGTCATTATTGACGGCTCATGGATTGCGAGAATTAATGTTTTCCATGTAGTTAGTTCACGCTTCCGATGGCACCGTACAAACGATCCCGTGCACGCGCTGCAAAGATACGTCATGGAGCGCTGCTTTACCACATTTCCCTTGCAACCCCTAGGAAACGAGCTAGGTTTGTTCATCTATTCGGGCTCTTACCTTCATGCCTGGTATGGTGGAAAGCAAAGTTTGACGTGACGCCCAAAAGAAGTTTCCAACTTAGCCCAAGATGTGTTACAATCGGTTGTGTTGACAACATTGCAAAACTGCATGGTGTCGGCAACAATTCCTCAACACCCTCCCCCACATGGAACGATCAAGAAACAGGCATTTTGAGAGGCACATGAGAAACTGACGGCTTATAAACACCCAGCATAGCCAGTCGAGGTTTTCATAAGACGCGATGACGCGAAACCCTGGTCGAAGTTAAAAAGTGTGTTCCATATTTATTTGGAGTTTTGAAATGAAATAGCTATCTTGAAGACCTTTTGGTGTGCTCACAATCCTACCGTTCTTAAGACCTAAGTCCCCCTGGTTTCTGAGCTACACACACGCAGAACTGGGAAAGGTATATTGGGGGAGAGTATTTCAGTCACCTTGGCATTCATGACACCAAAATAACGTCATTCGAATTCTGTCCATTCCGTAAGCCATGCGGCGATCAAGGCTAAGAAAAATGTAATCGTCGAGGCGTTTATATCTGGCGTTCGTGAGAACGATTTCTAGATACAACGGCCGTCAGTTGGCTCTCAATCAACGTTGTGCAAGGTGGGATGATGTAATCAAACCATGACGCATTGGGGAGCATATTTACTAAACACAGAATTGCTCTGTCTAGCCGGTCGTTTCCACTTAAAAAGCATACCAGTGGTTATACATAAGCTTGTTTCACCACATCTGATGCATGCCTCAGTATCTCCAAACGTGAAACATTCCCTTTAAGCCATGCTGATTGTGAAGCGAGTCACTCCGCGACCGTCGGCCGGGGGCCCACCGGCGACAGGCTGACAGAAGACCAGGGGTTCCGGCAGCAGCGTCCTGACCTTCTAAGGCGTGGCGGGACCATGCGTGTGAGGCTCACGATCAGATGAGGACCGCGGATGTCTCTGTGCTCGGGCCAATTTTGGGATGCTTTGGAGCTTCTTGACCGTTTTGGTATTCAGTTCGCGGGTTAGTATTTGATTAACTTGATGCCTGATCTATGTGATAAATTTGGCATTTACTTGTATCTGATGTGTTTGCTGCCGAACGTATCAGAAACGAAAAGACAAAACAAAACGCTTTTGGTGTACGCGCACATTGAAACCACAAGAGTGATCGTAAAATGATTTTGCGTGCCCAGCAAAGGTTCTCAAGATTTTTTACAAGATAAACATCATGGATATGCACCATTATTCCGAACGATTTGCCACACTACCAATCTCTCTGCCTCCTGTTCTGGTGACCGCGTCATAGCACAGTGGCTAGAAGTGCTGGTGCTTTTCAGGACACCACAAAAAGTGGCGCCATATTAGCATCATATGTAAAAGCATCATTATCTTCTGCGTTCCTACTTCGGCATCAATGTCAGAACATTGTCGATTTTTGCAGCATGAAGATAGCAAGCCAAGCAAAGAAGAAACATGGTTGACAGGCAAAGGGCGCAAACCATTTATGCGTTGTCAGCTCGTGATAAGGGAGCAAATTCTCTAGCATGCGCTCTGGCGGGGATCAAATTGACCCCTCCCCCCACGAAGGCATTTCCAAAATGGTTTCCAAGCGGCGCGGTGCGGGTGCACCAAGTTTTTGACTGCCTGTAGACGATTGAATAGCGGATCGTTTGGTGTTAAACATTTAGATTTACCTTGGAAGGTCGCTGACCTACGGCAGGTCAAAATCGCACCATGGATTCTGTGAAGTCAATTTGCAGGGAATCATTCTATCTTATGCAATAACGGAGTGTTAGACGAGACCATGTATCTCTGAGATACTTTCCTAGGCAACACAACAATTGAATGAGCAAATTCGATTGACTTAAGGTCAGTTTTGAAGGTAAGACGAAGGCCAGAGGTAATCTCCTTTAGTGCTCTAGGGTTTGTTGCGTGGAGTAGTTTTGGTGCTCCTTTCCAATTGATTGATAACGGGAATCGTATTATACATCTTCCAAGCACTTTCCAAAGGTCAGAATAGGTCACTGACCTAAAATGACCCGGATCAACATTTTGTTTTTAGGAGAATACTGCCTAGCGTAATGTTTGTCGCTTATTCAAATGCAAAACTCAAAGAATTCTTGCATGAGTTTGGTCACCATAACCTTTAAAGGATCAAACAGGGCCACTGGCCTTGAATGAACATGGGACCTTTTGCTTAAAACAGCTATCTAGGTTCTAGGACACTTTGGAGACCAACCTGGAGATTGGCCTTTTTAACTTTAATTAACCCGAAGATCATGACCTAGGAGCCTCAAACTTCGACCTGGGTGACTTCCAGTACAGGCCAGAAAACCCTGCGAATTTCAAATATCCAGCTCTCTTAGTTTCTGAAATCTCAGCGGGGCAAATTGACCCACACCCGAGCGAAGGGTGTCCAGCCGGTCACCCGGGCGCATGTTAAACTGCTCCGCAATATCCAGTCCAGTGCACCCCTTCAATTTAATAGGCATTTGGGTACTGCAAGAGTTACGGACAGCTGATGAACTTTCAGGCAAACTTGTAATCCAGTGCGACAACCGTATGCCATCGGTAAAGTGAGCTAATGTGCGTTGCGAAGCGGCGCAGCGGTCTCTCGCCCGACGAGAGGAACGACTCGGTAGATTCAGCGAGATTCTCTTCTTCCTCCTCTCTCTCTCTCTCTCTCCCTCC